TATTGAAAAAGTATAGTAATGGAAACCCTAGGGTACAGACAAAAATGGCCATTGGTATATAATGGAAAACCCAGAAATGAACCTAAACATAAATGGTCAACCAGTCTTTCACAGAAACATTAAGAACAAACAATGGGGAAAGAAAATCTCATCAGTAAATAGTTTTTGGGAAAATGGATGAAAATATGCAAAGAATGAAACTAGATCCTTGTTCTACACTACATACAAAATTTAACTCAAATTTATTAAAGAATTAAATATAAGACTTGATAATGTAAAACCTAAAAGAAAACATGGGGGAGGAGTTCTTGACATTGGTTTTATTAATGTCTTTCCAGATTTCACACCAAAAGCATGGGCAACAAAAACAATCATAGACAAGTGGGAGTAAAAATTCTGTAAAGCAAAGGAAATAACAAAAGGAAGATGAAACTTACAGAATGAGAGAAAATATTTACAGAATATTATTCTAATAATAGTATTCAAGATATCTAAATATTTCACAAAACTCAACAGCGAAAAATCAAGAACAAAAACAACAACAACAAAAAAAAACATACTTTAAAATGGCCAAAGACATGAAGAGACAATTTTTAAAGAAGATGTATAAGTGGTCATCAAATATTTGAATAGGTACTCAATGTCACTGTTACATTTAGATATGGGATATCACACAAACGCTCATGCATGGGACAATGAAAAAAAATATTAGAGGTGAAATGATGGGATTGTGGAAGCTTTATCCTAATCAGTGAATGAATCCATCAGTGCAGATTAAATGGTGGGAACTGTAGCTAAACAAGGTGTAACTGAAGGAGGTAGGTCACTGAGGGTGTCCCTTTGGGTTTATATGTCTTCCCTGGTTAGAGAGGCTCTCTCTGCTTCCTTGTTGCCATGTCCTGAGCTGCTTTCCTCCTCTATGTCTTTTCACCATGATGTCCTGTCTCAGCTTAGGCTCAGTGCTATGGAGTCAGCCATCTGTGGTCAGAGATATATGAATCCATGAGCCAAAATATACTTTTCCTCCTCTGTGTTTTCTTCTCTGGTATTTTGAAAAAGTTGACTAAAACAAAAATTCATACCAAAAACTATGGTGGTTGCTGTGACTAACCTAACCATATGTTTCAGTTCTTTGGAAACTTTTTGGAACTTGTGGGCACAATTTTGAAAAGATTAGGGATGCAAGTTGTAAAATCTTTAGGTTGTGAGCAGAGTTTAATGGGTGATTCTGATGAAAACTCATAGACCAGAATGCTGATGGAACTGTGGACAGTAAAGACTGGGCTCATGAGTTTCCAGAGGAGGAAATTCCAGGAATTGAATTCAGGGGCACTCAACCACAGAGCCACATCCCCAGCCCTATTTTGATTTTAGTTAGAGACAGGGTCTCACTGAGTTGCTTAGCACCTCACTTTTGCTTAACTCACCATCCCCCTGCCTCAACCTCCTGAGCTGCTGGGATTACAGACATGTGGTATGTGGATTGAGACTTTCTATGAGAGTGAATTTAAAGCTGATGGACTAATTAGTCTTATGTAGAAAATTCCATCCCTCATATGCTTTAAATCATCTCTTTATGTGGTTTTGTTCTACTATACTATTTAGAGAATAATGTCATGAAAAGAGCCTGTCATATTCAGTACAGATAGATTTTTTTTCTGAAATATATTCAATTTATAATTAGTTTAATCCAAAGATGCAGAACCTATGAATGCAAATGTTTGATTTGTTTTTCAACAAAATATATTAAAATTCAAGAACAGAAAGCAAATTGTCAAGATATCAACTTACAGAAGATATTCCAATGAATATTTCTAACTGTGATAGTCAATTTATGTTGTCACCTTGATTGGATTAAAGAATGCTTATTCTCTTTTATTGCTGAGTAATATTCCATTGTGTATACACACCACATTTTCTTTATCCATTTATCTACTGAAGGGCATCTAGGTTGGTTCCACAATTTAGCTATTATGAATTGTGCTGCTATAAACATTGATGTGGCTATGTCCCTGTAGTATAATGATTTTAAGTTCTTTGGGTCTTTATATATCTTAAGTAGAATTTTTTTGTCAGTATACAAGTTGGTGTTCTCCAGAGAAACAGAATACATACATATATACATGCACACAAATACATTTCCATATACATACCTCTAATATTTAGGTATAGTAGAATATTAGATTGAGTCACAAGGTCACATAGGTTGAAATGTTCATCAATGACTATTTTCACTCTGTAGAACCAGGGAAAATGGTAGTTACTCAGTATAAGAAGGTGAGGGTTGCGGAGTAGAAAATGCAAAATATACTCCCTTGTTTGTATCCTTAGGTTTGAAAGTCCATAAAGGTTCACTGGTGCATGTAATTTCACATTCAAAATCTAAGAAACCTAGTATTTGGCACTCACAGGGAACAATGGTCAAGTGGATCAGTGCACTTGGCCAAGTGGGGAAGTGGAGAGAGAAGAGATGATGGTATCTCCAACATTCAGGCTGGGTCTTTGACACACTTCCCTCAACCTGCCAATTATTTTTTGAAATACCTTCACAGTCACACCCAGAAGTGTGCTGTGTTCCTAAGGGAAAATATCAAAATGGAGGAAAGCATAAAGATGAGAATGATTTAATTTGAACACTAGCTTTTCCTAAGGAAAAATATAAAAATGTCTGGATATTCTTGAATATCCAGACATGAGAAATTACTCAATTTCATTGCTCATCAAATAAATACCATTTTAAGATGTACCAATATGGATACAATTTCACAAAGTTAACAATATCAAATATTATTTGGGAGGTTTTATAGCAACTGGAACTTTTCTGTATGGTACAGGTTAGTAGATTGCAAACATGCTCACTATTTTAGAAAACATAACTATATTATTTTAGTGTTCACTGAAGCTAAACTGCAAAGAAAAACTCTGACTCACCACTTTCATGCCTAGGAATATACTCAAGACAAATGAATGCACACGTGTACAAAGGATGTTGCAAGAATATCCCTAAAACATTAACAACAGTCTCAAACCTATGCCAGCTCATTAACATAAAGATTGACTGACATGTTCACATAATAGGAAATTATGCTTAGTTAAAGAGAACAAACTGCTACCATACCCACAACACAGGCGGATTTCAAAGAACAGGTTTATGAAAAAGAGCAAGATGCCAGATATAAAATTCTTGGATGGCATTAATTTTCTTTCAGAGCTTGAAATATATCATTCCAGGACTGCCTATCTTTGAGGATCTGGGTTGAGAAATCAGTTGAGAACCAAATTAGTTTCTCCCTATATGTAATTGTAATTTTCCTCTCACAACCTTTAAGATTTTATCTTTAGTCTGTGTTAGTCATTCTCATTATAATGTGTCTTGATGTGGGTCTGCTGTAATTTTGTATATTTGGGGTCCTGTAAATCTCTTGTATTTGATTTTCCATTCCATTATTTAGGTATGGGAAACTTTCTGCTATTATCTTTGAAAAGATTGTGCATTCCTTTGATTTGTATCTCTGCTCCTTCATCTATTCTGAAACCTCTTAAATTTAGTCTTTTCATGTTATCCCATAATTCTTGGATGTTCTTTTCATGGCTTCTTACCAACTTTTCTGCACAGGCAACCTTACTTTCAAGATTATATATTTTGTCTTCATTGTCTGTGGTTCTGTGTTCCAAGTGGTCTAGTCTGTTGGTGATGCTTTCTATTGAATTTATAATTTGGTTTACTGATTCCTTCATTTTGAGTATTTCTGCTTTTTTCATAATCTCTAACTCTTTATTGATTTTTCACTTTCTGTATTTTTTTCTTTGATTTCACTTTTTATACTATTCTTTACTTCACATGTCAGTTTAACTATGTACAATCTGAACCCCTTCTTAGACATTCTACTATGTTATCAGTGGCTTCTGCTTATGAAGCATCTTGTTTTGTTTGGGACACTTTATTCCCCCTTTTATTTTTATATGTTGTTAGTGTGTTTTGCCATATAGAAGTATGGATTTAAGACAGCATAAATTTCTACCCTGTAGACCTGTAGTGATCCTGAAGGTTTCCAGTTCCTCACTTTTAATGATGAGACCAATATCAACAGCACCCAGTGTAGATAATATATGGCCTTAAATCTAATAACTCCCACTAAGGTGTCCACTGCTTTCTAGCATTAAACCAAAATGATGAATTCAATAACTATCTATAGTATAAATAGTAAATTTGTTAAAATGGTTTACAATTTCAAATGATGAATGAGAGAACAGAGGTAGTGTAGTACACAATATTTGTGAAAAGGGAAGAGAGAAGCTAGAAGCAAAAATTCACAGGAAGAGAGGAAGAGGAGTTGATAGAGATTGGCTGTTGGTTGGAGAAATGTTGGAAAGAAAATAGACAAGAGAGTAGAAGAATAGGAACAAAGAGAAAAAATTAAAGACATAAGAATACAATGAAAATTCAAAACTCTATTCATATATCATTGTCCTCCACACACTGATGCATAAAAAAATTCTGTTCCAAATATGGTAAAGATGTTAATGAATCAAGAAATAAAATAAAATAAATCTTGCTGGAAAGTCAACCTGTCTTTGTCAGTGTTCAACAGTATCTCAGCCCTGTCTCTGACATCTCTCAAAATCACCAAACCCAAATCAGCCATTGAAAACCCAGTCACTATTCCACCAATCTGGGCTTCAGATACCTCAGGCTCAGTCACCTGCATGCCCAAGATCTCAATGTTGCTCCTACTTGCAGAGAGGCCACCAGGGAAACACTCATGAAAAGGAGCAACCCCGAGATGCAGCAGCAGGTAAGGGCCACCAACACTCTCAGCAAGAAGACCCCAGGCTCCTCCAAACCTACAGGCACCCCCACATTGGACCTGCATGTCCCAACTGGAATCCCCAGAAAGAGACTCTTGTGGTGGTAACACCCATACCCCAGGCCCTGGCTGGTGTCCCAAAATCAGTGTAGCCACATGCAACCAAACCTGGAGTCTCCTTATTGCAGTCCTCTAGGCCATTGTAGCAGCAGTAGGGTGGTGGTTGTTGTCAGCATCGGTGGCATCTACAACAGGAGCTGTGGGGTCAGCATCACCTGGAAATCTCTGGAATCAGAAGCAGTGTCAGCTTCAGGTGAGTCTGGGACAGCAATGGGGGGTTGCAGCTGTAAGGGCAGCATGACCCAGAAAGAAGATCTCCAGGCGACCTCAGGCTGGCAAGCGTAGAATCAAAGGCAACAGCGATGGTGTAGCAGTGCAGATGGAGTTTACTGACAGGATACCTTGGGTTCAGTGGCAGTGAACACGGAGGTAGTGTGG